AGACCCTTCATCATTTTTCTGATGAAGGGTCTAGGCCCGAAACGTCAGCCTTTCTGCTCCTATGATGCTACTTGGCCTGCTGTGTTCATCCAGCTCTGCACTTTGTTGTCAAGGATAGATAGGTTTTTTTTTAAACTGGCATGTGGACACAATGGGCCAAATGTCTGTGCCATAGATCTCTATGTCTCTGGGATCCATCTCCAACTAGTTTGTAGAGACATGACAAGGCATGGTACAAAATAAATAAAGAAAATCCAGACTTCTGCATGGAACAGCCCATTCAATACCCCACCAGCTTCAACCCTGAACGAATTTAACTCTTTCTGTGATCTACAAGGTTCAGGGTTCACAGCAACAATCTAGAGTGTATTGACACTTCCAGTCAATGGTCTGAGGGAATGCTGCTGTGATGATGGGTGCCATGTTTTTGATGAAATGATAAACTCCATCCTCCTATCCAATATTCTCCCCCACCACCACCAACACCAACACCATATGTGCCCAGCTGTGTGGCTGTAAATGAAACAAGGACCATTACTTTGAAGACGAGCATGCTATCACCAGTGTCCTGGGGCCACCATTTACCCCTTCACCAACATCACTAAAGCATTATTTGATTATGCTGAGCTGGCACGAAAGAGAAGTTGAGACAAGGGGCAGATCAGTGTGGATCTTGATGAATGAAGCAGGGAAGGCCTGAGGGGCTGAATGCACTACTCCTGCTCCTACTTCTTATGTTCTTATTACCGGGTCATCTTATTACCTGTTTGTGGGAGCTTGCTATGTCCAAATTGGCTGCTGCGTTTCTTATATATTACAACATTATGGTTATACCTTGGGAGTATGTCACTTCCAGTGGAGCACTGTGGGCAGACCTCTGGCTGGGAAAGGCGCTGTAGAACTGCAAGGGTTTTCTTTCTGTGATTTGACCTTCTTACACTGAATCAAACTTCCAAACTGTTTTGTCCTGTATTTTTAAAACCCGCTGCTTCATGCTATACAGAGAGAAGAGAGAGCTACAGTTTGAGGACTATCTCCGTCGAATGATAAACCGTTTTACTCGGAACCTACGCATTGACATTCACAAGGTGCGTGCTTGAACCCAGGATTCGGTGCTTTGTATTTGAAACTTTAAAAATAGACTTTCGAGATTTGCCAAGTGGTTTGATCTGTAAATATGTGGTCCACTCAGAGGAACTAACCTTAATCATTGGCCTGGGCTCTGTTAGCTGAGCACCACCACCTGCAATTTCCCCTCCAAGTCACTCACCATCCTGACTTGGAAATATATCACCACTCATTCACTGTCACTGGGTCAAAATCCTGGAATTCCCTCCCTAAGGGCATTGTGGGTGTACCTATGGAACCTAGATTGCAGTGGTTCAAGGAGGCAGCTCACCACCACTTTCTCAAAAGCAACAAGGCGTGGGTAATAAATGCTGGCCCAGACAGTGATGCCCACATCTCACGAGCGAATTAAAAACAAATTTTATAGAACCCTGGTAAGTGGGTATCGCTGGCTGGCCATCATTTATTGTCAGATCAAGGAATTTTCATTAAAATAACAGGGAACCCAAGTACGGAGAGACTGTTTCCAAAGGCAGGGGGATCTGTGACCAGATAGAGACAGATTGAAGACGATTCTCCAAACAACCAGAGTCAACATGAGGAAATATTTATTTATGCAGTCAGTTGTAGCGTGCTGTGGAAAGGTATTAGAACGTAGAACATAGAACATAGAGTAGTACAGCACAGTACAAGCCCTTCGGCCCACAATGTTTTGCCGAACTTTTACCTTAATCCTAAGGTCTATCTAACCTGCACCCCGACCTTATACTATCATCCATATGCCTATCTAATAGCTGCTTAAATGCCCCTAATGAGGCTTACTCCACTACTCTCTCCGACAATGCATTCCACCTCCCTACCACTCTCTGAGTAAAGAACCTACCTTTGACGTCTCCCCTATATCTACCTCCACTCACTTTAAAACTATGCCCCCTCTTAATAGCTACCTCCACCCTAGGAAAAATTCTCTGACTGTCCACTCTATCTATACGTCTGATCATTTTGTACACCTCTATCAAGTCACCTCCCATCCTTTTGTCGTTCTAAAGAGAAAAGCCCTACCTCCCTCAACTTTTCCGTGTGAGACCTTCCCTCCATTCCAGGCAACATCCTGGTAAATCTCCTCTGCACCTTTTCCAACAAGGCGACCAGAACTGGACACAATACTCCAGATGTGACCGAACCAGGCTTTTGTATAGCTGGAGCATAACTTCATGGTTCTTGAACTCAATCCCTCTATTAATGAAAGCTAACAAACCATACGCCTTCTTAACAACTCTATCCACCTGGGTGGCAGCTTTCAGGGAACTGTGGACATGAACTCCAAGATCCCTCTGCTCCTCCACACTGCCAAGAATCTTTCCATTAACCCTGTATTCTGCTTTCCAGTTTATCCTTCCAAAGTGAATCAACTCACACTTTTCAGGGTTAAACTCCATCTGCTACTTCTCAGCCCAGCTCTGCATCCTATCAATGTCCCTTTGTAACCTAGAACAGCCCTCCACGCTGACCACAACGTGACCCACCTTCGTATCGTCCGCGAACTTTCTAATCCATGCTTCCACTCCTTCATCCAAATCATTTACAAAAATCACAAATAGAAAAGGACCCAGAACAGATCCTTGTGGTACACCACTCATAACCCAGCGCCGTATTGGAGGCAGATTTAATGTTAACTTTCAAAAGAGAATTGTATAAGGGCTTAATGGGATAGAAATCTTACTTGGCAATGGGAAAAGATAGGGGAATTGGAATTAACATGATATGTATCCCAAATATCCAGAATATGTTAGCTCATGATGAGCAAGGGAACCAAAGGATATTGGGAGTCACAGGAAAGTAGAGTTGAGGCCACAATGAGATCAGTCATGATTTTATTAAATGATGCTGTTAGCTCAAGGGACCAAATGGCCTACTCCCACTGCTCCTGCTTCATCTGTTCATACTGTAGCCTCTGCCCTTAGTACACCTCTGCTGTACCATTGTGTAGCCTTCAGGAAAGACTGAACAGGCTATGGCTTTTTTCTCTCAAAAAGAGAATATTAGCAATGACCATTGGAATTCTTTAACATGGAGACATACAGCACAGAAACAGACCCTTCGGTCCAACTCATCTCCTGACTTCACCCCAGATGGGACATGAGCCCACAATCCTTGGCTTAGGAGGTCAGTGCCATATCCATTACTGAGAGGGTCTGATAGAGTAAACACAGAGACAAGCTTTCCACTTGTGGGGAGGCCAGAATAGGGGCTATAAAATTATTTAGTCGTTAATAAATCTGGAAGTTCAGGAGAACCCTCTTCACCTGGAGAATGGGGAGAATGTGGAGCCCACTCCCAGAGGAAGTGGGCGAAGGGAATAGTGTCAATACATTTAAGAGGAAGCTGGATAAACACACAAGGGAAAAAGGAATATGGTGATAGTGTTGGAGGAGCACTAACAGGAGACCGGATGGGCCAAATGGACTTTTTTTAAAACTGTAAACATTACATTGTGCCTATTTTTGCATATTTAATCTTTTACTATGTACTGGGTACTGTGAGCAGTTCAGGGCACCACACCTTAGGAAGGATACATTGACCTTGGAAGGAATACGATGTAGGTTTACAAGAATAATACCGAGACTTCAGGGGTTAAGTTATAAGAAGAGGTTATACAAATTAAGCCTGTTTACTCTAGAATTTAGAAGGTTAAGGGATTGTCAGATCAAAGTCTTCAACGTACTGACAGGAAAAGACAGGGTAGATGAAGGTAAACTATTTCCGCCGATTGATGATTCTAGAACTAGGAGCATAGTCTGAGAATTAGGGCCAGACCATTCAGGAGAGACGTTAGGAAGCACTTCTAAACACACAGGGTGGGAGAGGTTTGGAACTCTCTCCCCCAGTTGGCAGTGGATGCTGAATCAGCTGTTAATTTTAAACCTGAGATAGTTTTTATTTGTTAAGCAAAGGTATTAATGGCTATGGGCCAAAGGCAGGTGTATGGAGACAGGCTACAGATCAGCCATGATCTTACTGAATGGTGGGCTGAATGGCCTGCTCCTGTTCCTTTGTTTTGATTGTTCTCTGTTCTGCAGGTGCACCTTCTGTGTCTGCTGGCCAACGGTATGTTCCGGAATAGAATGTGTAATGAGCCAGAGCTTCGGGCCTTGGCACTGTCCCTGGTACCTGCTGAACTTGCCAAAGTGCCAGGTGGTCGTGTGCAGATTGCATACATCTCTAAACTGCTCAAGTGGTAAGTCAGTGAGAGTGGCCTTCCCATCACTTCCCAAGTTAACCAAAGGCTTGTGTTTGAAATTAAAAGGAGAAGAAGAGGAAAGGAGTGAGGTGAGGGGAGTGATTGGTGATACTCAAAACCCAGGTCGGAATTGTTTGGATATCACAGAGGATTGTGGAGTTGGCCAAACTTAGTGAGATAGGGAGTGACCAGGCTCGCGTGGGATTTGAAAATGGATTTGAGAATTTTAATATTTCAGGATTTTTTAACCAGGTACGTGACTGGTTATACCAAAGTTTGCTGGTGGTGAACACTTTTACTGATAAGCGTTTTAACTTTCTTGGATTTTGGTTCCTGTCAAATCCATTTCTTCTATAAGGTTTTGGAGTAGATTTGTAGCTCGGGTTGGGAATGTTGTGGTTGGTTGGCTCGCCAAGCTGGTTCGTTGTTCCGCGGACGTTTCGTTACCATGCTGGGTAACATCCTCAGTGCAGCCTCCGATGAAACATCGGTATGTTTTCCCGCCTGGTTTTTAAACTCTGGGGTCCGTTGCAATGGATTGCCTCACTTCTGGGTTTCCTTCGCAATGGAGTGTATATGGGGTCAGGTTCTATGTGTTTGTTGATGGCTTTCTTCGTGGAGTACCAGGCTTCTAGGAATTCCCATGCTTGTCTCTGCTTTGCTTATCCAGGATTTTGGTGTTGTCCCAGTCGAATTGGTGGTTCTCCTTATCCATGTGGATAGAAATGAGTGAGTATAGATCGTGTCTTTTTGTAGCCACTTGGTGTTCGTGTACCCTTGTTGTTAATTTCCTTCCTGTTTGTCCAATGTAGTGTTTGTCACAGTCTCTGCAGGGAATCTTATAGATGACATTGGTCCTGTCCATACTGGGGGTAGTGGGTCCTTGGTTTGGGTGAGCAGTTGTCGTGGGGTTGATGTGGGTTTTTGTGCCACTCTGATATCCAGTGGTCATAGGAGTCTTGTGGTTAGTTCCGATCTAACTCCAGAGTTTAAAAACCAGGAGGGAAAACACAACGGTGCTTCATCAGAGGCTGCACTGATGATGTTACCCAGCAGGGTAATGAAACGTCTGAGGAACAACAAACCAGCTCGGCGAGCCAACCAACCACAACACCATTTTTCTGTTTTGTGGATATCCTTCCTCCCACTATGATATTGACCCAACGGAAAATCAGAAGTTGGGAGAAAATTGACAAAGGAGATGGGTGGGTTCTTGTTGGGTGTCATGGAAGATGGATGGATAATTGGGTAAATGGAGGTGGAAATACAGATCGATCAAGGGATCGAATTGGTTGGAAGTCACACAACACTAGGCTATTGTCCAACAGGTTTATTTGAAATCACAAACTTTCAGAGCACTGCCCTGTCATCAGGTGAAGTGAAGAGAAGCATACAGGCTAGGAATTTACAATCAGAGAGATCAAAAGATCATACAAATGGTGTGAGTGGAGTGTTGACAGGCCGAATAATAGGTCTCTGCAGGTGATCCGGAGTGTAAGACGGTGAGAGTAAAGTGTCAACAGCTGAATAACAAGCGAAGGGATGACCTATAATCCAATTAATTAAGGCAGAGAGATAATTACAAAAAATTAAAAATAAGGTAGTGCTGGAAACAAACCAAATGACTGGAATAACTTGACAGGTGTAAGAGTCACATGCTGGGGGTCTAACCACAGTAATAAGTAATCCAAAACTGTACAAACTAATTGAGGTTGAGAGATCATAACAATTTATCAAGGTGATGATGTCAAAACAGGATAGTAAGGAAGGTTTTAGAAATACAGAACAGTGTGGTGGGGTTACATGTAGCGCGACATGAACCAAAGATCACGGTTGAGGCCGTCTTCATGGGTACGGAACTTGGCTATCAGTTTCTGCTCAGTGATTCTGCATTGTTGTGTATCTCCAAGGCCGCCTTGGAGGACGTTTACCTGAAGATTGGAAGCTGAATGTCCTTGACCGCTGAAGTGTTCCCCAACTGAGATGGAACATCCCTGTCTAGCAATTGTTGTGCAGTGTCCATTCATCTGTTGTCATAGCGTCTGCAGGGATTTGCCAATATACCATGCCTTGGGGCATCCTCGCTTACAGCGTGTGAGGTAGGCAGCATTGGCCATGACACATGAGTATCTCCTGTGTACGTGCTGTTCCCACGTGTGATGGTAGTGTCCATGTCAAAGATCTGAGATGTCTTGCAGAGGTTGCCATGGTGGGGTTGTGTGGCGTTGTGGTTGATGTTGTCCTGAAGGCTGGGTAGTTTGCTGTGAACGATGGTCTGTTTAAGGTTTAGCAGTTGTTTGAAGGTGAGAAGTGGTGACGTAGGGATAATCTTGGTGTGATGTTCGTCATCAACGATGACATGTTGACGGCTGTGAAAAACATGGCGTAGTCTCTCTGCTCTAGGGAAGTACTGTTTGACAAAGTGTACTCTATCAGTTGTATTTCTGTCTTTGGAGGAAGTTGTTGCAGTTTTTCACTGCAGCACGTGAGAACTGGCAGTCGATGAGTTGAGTGTCATATCCCGTTCTTATGAGGGCGCCTTTCAGCATCTTTAGGTGTCTGTAGGGTTCCTCCTCATCTGAGCAGATCCTATATTTATGCAGGGCTTGTCTGTAGCGGGTGGAAGCTATAGAGAAGTGCAGCATCGTGAGGTTATCTGTGGGATTGTGGTAGTGTGAGGTATTGAGGTGTCTGTCCCTGATGGAGACGTGTGTGTCCAAGAATGAGACTGATTCTAAAGAGTAGTCCATGGTAAGTTTGATGGTGGGATGAAACTTGTTGATATCACTATGTAGTTGTTTCAGTGATTCCTCGCCATGAGTCCAAAGGAAGAAAATGTTGATGATGAATCTGGTATATTACATTGGCTGGAACTCCTGTGCAGTAAAGAAGTCTTGTTCAAACCTGTGCATGAAAATGTTGGCATATTGGGGTGCAAATGGCCGTTCCGTGTGTCTGGATGAAGAGCTGCTTGTCGAAGGTGAAAACATTGTGGTCAAGGATGAAGCAGATGAGTTGTAGGATGGCGTCTGGAAATTGGCAGTTGGTGGTGTTGAGTACTAAGGCTGTTGGAGCAATGCCGTCATCGTGGGGGATGCTGGTGTAGAGTGCTGGAACGTCCATTGTGACAAGGAATGTTCCTGGTTCGACGGGTCTGTGGGTGCTGAGTTTCTGTAAGAAATCTGTAATGCCGCGACAGAAGCTGGGAGCTCTTTGTACAATGGGTTTCAAGATGCCCTTGACATAGCCAGAGAGGTTCTCACACAGGGTCCGGTGCAAGCTTGAAGGGCTGAATGGCCTCTTCTATGTTCCTTCTGCCTGTAAAGCGCCCAAAACAACACTTTTCACTGTACCTTGGTACATGTGACAGTAATAAATCAAACCAAATCTAAACTTTCCTACCACTGTGCAGATCTCCAAAGGCTCTCTGAACAGCTCCGTGCAGCCAACAGGGAACAATGCTACTTGTGTTTTTCATGAAGAGAGGTGTTTGGTCTGAGATGGGAGAACAAGGGTTTCATTTCAGCTGCATTCCTCTGGTGTTGCTGCTCAGTATCTCCATTCTCTCTTCTTTTCCATTTGCAGGTTTGTATCATCGTTTGAGATTGACACTTCTCTCCCCAACAGTGCGGCGGACCCTCTTCTCATGGTGCTGAAGAGGAGATTCAGCAGCCGTTCCGCAAGGAGTGAGCAAGAAATGGTTCATGTGCGTATCCTCTGTGACTGGCTACGGTGAATCTCCCTGGATTGCTGTGGAGGTGCCAGTGTTGGACTGGAGTGGACACAGTCAGAAGACACACAACACCAGGTTATCGTCCAACACATTCTTTTGAAAACTCGACCTTTAGGAGCGCGGCCCCTTTGTTAAGCACACCTGATGAAGGGGCTCCGCTCCAAGAGCTTGTGATTTCGGACTATAACCTGGTGTCGTGTGACTTCTGACTCCCTGGACTGTGCACCAGGGTCCAAAATGAATAGGACTCTCTGACTCTTTACCCTATTCCGGCTTCCTCCTCTTCTTCTTCTTCTCCTCCTCCTTCTCCATCAGCCTACAGTATTCCAGGCTTCTTCATTAAGGGCATAGAGTCAAGTGCAGGGGGGTTATACTAAACTTATATAGGGCACTGGTTAGACCTCAGCTGGAGTATAATGTACAGTTCTGGGCAACACGCTATAGGAAGGATGTGAACACATTGGAGAGAGTTCACAAGAGGTTATAAGAATGGCCCCAGAGGTGAGAAACTTAAGTTCTGAGGAGAGGTTGGAGAAGTTGGGACTGTTTTCCTGGAAGAGAAGATGGCTAAGAGGAGATTTGACAGAAGTTTTCAAAATCCTGAGGGGTCTATACATAGTGAATAGGGAGAAACTGGTCCCACTCATAAACAGATTGAGAATGAGAGGGTACAGTTTAAAAGTGTTTTTGCAAAAGAAGCAAATGCAAGGTGTGAAAGGAAAATCTGCTTGGAAATGTGGTGGAAGCAGCTTCATCAGAGGCAGTCAAGAGAGCGCTGGATGATTATATAGATTCATAGAGACATACAGCACAGAAACAGACCATTCGGTCCATCTTGTCCATGCCAACCTGACATCCCAATCTGACCTAATCACATTTGCCAGCATTTGGCCCATATCCCTCTCAACCCTTCCTGTTCATAGTCCCATCCATGGCTTTCATTCGTAGCAACAACGTGCAGCATTTCAGGGAAAGACAAGAGATTAGCACTAGGTAATAGCACTTGAAAGCTGCCACCCAGGTGGATAGAGTTGTTAAGAAGGCTTATGGTGTGTTAGCTTTCATTAATAGAGGGATTGAGTTCAAGAGCCGTGAAGTTATGCTCCAGCTATACAAAAGCCTGGTTCGGCCACTTCTGGAGTATTGTGTCCAGTTCTGGTCGCCTCATTACAGGAAAGATGTGGAAGTGTTGGAAAAGGTGCAGAGGAGATTTACCAGAATGTTGCCTGGAATGGAGGGAAGGTCTTACGAGGAAAGGTTGAGAGAGGTACGGCTTTTCTCTTTAGAACGACGAAGGATGAGAGGTGACTTGATAGAGGTGTACAAAATGATCAGAGGTATAGATAGAGTAGAGAGCCAGAGACTTTTTCCTAGGGTGGAGGTAGCTTTTACGAGGGGACATAGTTTTAAAGTGAAAGGACGTAGATATCGGGGAGACGTCAGAGGTAGGTTCTTTACTCAGAGAGTGGTAGGGACGTGGAATGCATTGCCGGAGAGGGTAGTGGAGTCGGCCTCGTTAGGGGCATTTAAGCGGTTATTAGATAGACATATGGATGATATTATAAGGTAGGGGTGGAGGTTAGATAGACCTTAGGATTAGGATAAAAGTTTGGCACAACATCGTGGGCCGAAGGGCCTGTACTGTGCTGTACTGTTCTATGTAATGATGCTTGTTTGAAGAGCCAGTGCAAGCAAAATGGGCCAAATGGCCTCCTTCCGCTCTGCAACAATTCTGTGATTCTCCTCAACCTGCACACATTCAATGGCTCCTTGTGAGATTTACTAGTTTGGTGCAGGATTGTAGCCACCATTGTGCATTGTTTGCAAGCACCAGGCACTCAGCAGACAGAAATTCCGTTACATTGCTCCTGATTGCAGTGATTAGGATATGACGCTCCCTGGTCACAGCTTTTTGAAAGAAGTATTGAAGGGTAATGGTGGTGTAGTGATGATATCACTAGATTAATAATTCTGAAGCTGGGGAAAAGGGTTTAAGCCCCACCATGGGAATTTTAATTTTTTAATTGGTTTATGGGATTTGGACATTGCACATGAAGGCAGCATTTATTACCCATCCCTCATTGCCCGGGGGCAGTTGAGAATCAACCACTTTGCTGTGGGTCTGGAGTTAAGCCAGACTGGGATAAAGAGCAGATTTCCTTCCCTAAGGGACATCAGTGAAGCAGTTGAGGGTTTAATGTCAATTGACAGTGGTTACATGGTTGCCATTAGGTTAACTTTCTGATTGAACATTTTAAAAAAAAAATTAAATTCAAATTTTCACCATCTGCCATGGTCAGATTTGAACCCGTGTCCCCAGAATATTAGCTTGGGACTGTGGATTACTTGTCCAGTGATGTCACCACCATGCTACAGACTGCCCTAAATTCAATAAATTAATAATATTCAGAATTGAAAGCTAATCACAGCAATGATGACCTATTGACTTTCATTAAATACACCTCATTGAATAGGAAATCTGTCCTTCCCCAGCCTGGCCTACATGTGACTCCAGACCTACAGCAATGGGGTTTAGGATGTACTTGAGTTCGGCAATCTATGTTGGCCTTCATGGTGAGAGAATTAGAGTACAGGCAAAAAGGATGTCTTGCTGCAACAAAACAGAAATTGCTAGAGAAACTCAGCAGAAACATTTCTGAAGAAGGATCACTGGACTTGAAACATTGACTCTGCTTTCTCTCCAAAGATGCTGCCTGACCTGTGGACCTCTCGAGCAATTTGTTTAGTTCCATATTTCTAGCATCCATAGTTCTGTATTTTATGTCTAGCTGTAATTATACTGGGCCTTGGTGAGGCCACACCTGGGGTATTGTGTGCAGTTTTGGCCTCCTTATCTAAAGAAGGATGTTCTTGCTGTAGAGAGAGTGCAATGAAGGTTTACCAGACTAACTCCTGAGATTGCAGAACTGACACATGAGGAGAAAATGAATCAGTTAGAATTGTATTCACTGGTGTTTAGAAGAATGAGGGGAAATAGAATTCTATAAAACTCTAATAGGTTAAATGCAGAAAGGATGTTCCTAATAGTGGGGGAGTCCAGAACTAGGGGTCATTGTTTAAGGATAAGGGATGAACCATTTAGGACTGAGTTGAGGAGAAATTTCTTCATTCAGAGAGTGGTGAGCCTGTGGAATCCACTACCACAGAAAGTGGTTGAGGCCAAAACATTGTGTTTTCAAGAAGGAGTTAGCTATAGCTTTCATGGCTAAAGGGATCAGTAGTATGGGGGGAGGGCGCAGTTGGGGTATTGGGCTTGATAATCAGCCATGATCATATTGAATGGCAGAGCACGCTCGATGGCAAAAAATAGCCTACTCCTGCTCCTATCTTCTATGTTTTTTAACTGTCCTCTGAAGTGGCCATTTGGCCCAGTCACATTGTACCATCCCACTACAGAAAGACTGCAGCAGTTCAAAAAAATGGCTCAACACCAACGTCTTGAAGTCAATTAGGGACAGGCAAAAAACACTGGCCCTGCCAGTGATGCCCACATTCCATGGAAAAGAAAATGTTTAAAATATCAACTTTGTGGCTGAAACCTCTCCCACTGCAATCATCAGAAACACTGAACCAAAGTAGTCAACTAGATCCTGGTAAAAAATAAATCCTCTATTCTACCTGCCTCTCTCCTGTTTCCCTACTTTCTCACTCTTTCTTTCCTTCCTTTCCCTACCTTCTCTTCTGTATTGCTCCATCTCTCTTTCTTTCTCTCTGTCTTTTTCGAGCTCGCTCTTTTTCTCTTGCTCTCTCTCACTTTTTTTCCCTATTTCATTCCCTCTGTTGTTTTCTTTCTCCTTCTTTCACATATTTTCTCTTTCTCTCGCCACCTTCTTTCTCTCCCATTTTTCACTTCTCCATCCTCCTCACCTAGTTTTACATCCTTCCCTTGCCCTGCTGTAGGAAAGAAGTTGTTAAGCTGGAAAGGGTGCAACAAAGATTTGAGGATGTTATCAAAACTGGAAGGTTTGAGTTATAAGGAGAGGCTAAATAGGCTGGGACTTTTTTTCCCTGGAGTGTAGGAGGCTGAGAGGTGACCATATAGAGGTTTATAAAGTTGTGAAAGGCATAGATAAGGTGAAAAGCCAAGATCTTTTCCCCCTGGCTAGGGGAGTCCAAAATTAGACCGTATAGGTTTAAGGTGAGAGGGGAACGATTTAAAAGGAAACTGAGGGGCAACTTTTTCACTTAGAGGGTGGTGCGAGTAGGGAAAGAGCTGCCAGAGGAAGTGGTGGAGATGGGTACAATTACAACATTTAAAAGACATTTGGACAGATACAAGGAAAGGAAAGGTTTAAAGGGATATGGGCCAAACGCAGGCAAATGGGACTCCTCAGTTTAGTAAACTTGGTTGGCATGGCTGAACTGGGCCAAAAGGCCTCTTTCTGTGCCGTATGACTCTCAATGACTCTTTCAGTCTGGTTTTTCTTATATCTTGCTCCTCTCTTTTGTTCCAAGGCCATATGCTGTCTCCCTCATATGCGTGCTCTCCTTCTTCATTGCTCTGTCCCTGCTCTTTTTCTCTCTCTCTGTCTCTCTCTCTCTATGCTTCTGTTCTTGCTATGCTCTTCACTTCATGTGAGTATGACATTCCTGCATTTCTATCCTTGGAAATCACGTACTCAGCAGGAAAAATAAATGTGGAAGATTTCCTTTTGTTTTTTGTAGTGAGATGCATCAAGTAAATTCAATTTTGTGCTGTGGTACTGTAAGGACTTGATGTTGTGCGCAATCTTGAACAATGAAAGGAATTAAATCGTTTGACAGTTTTGTCTTTCTCTGATATTTGCATTATGTTGTATTTGTCTTTTCCCAATTGTTGTGGTCTCATTTAACAATCTGATTTTGTTTTAACAGTTGTTTCTAATCACCCTTCGAACTCTCCCCTTGGCATCACGCCTTGTGATTTCACTGCAACCTGTTCCATTTAAAGAAAATTCAAAAGCGGTAAGAAACCAACCCGATTATGATCGTTTCATTTTATTTCCTCGGCTTCTTAGTAACAGGAGGAAGTTGTGCAGGACCCTGACATTGTGCAGTGTGATCGTGGCTGATCTGCATCTTAAAACGATCCACCTGCCCTGACTCCATAACTGTTAAACTCCTGCTCAACAAAAACCTAGCTACCTCAGTTTAGAAATTTCTAATTGACCCTCTCCTTCCAAATATTTTGGGCAAGAGAGTTATAGATTTCCACTTCCCTCTCTGCAGAGGTGCTCCTTGACACCCAGTCACTCTTTGTCAACTCTGGCATCATTCTTTGAATGCTTTGATGAGGGTCAGTAGGCTAATCCACTATGGAAACTGTCTGACTCCACCTCCTCTCCTTGGCCCTTACTGACGCTGTCCATAGTCATGTGGCGAGACTAGAACTGCAAAGAATCAAACACTGATCATAATCTTCCATGAGGCTGGACCTGATGGGATACATTCTGGGATATTAAAGGAGGTAGCTACAGAGATAGTGGGTGCACTGCTTATAATCTTCCAGGAATCCTTAGATTCTGGAAAAAGGCTGGAGGATTGGAAAACTGCCAATGTAACACCTTTAATTCAAAAAAGGAGAGAGACAAAAACAAGTACTACAGACTGGTTAGCTTAATATCTGTTAATGAAAAAATGTTAGAGGTAACAGTAGAATATTTAGAAATACATGCTCAAATCATAGAACATAGAACATTACAGCGCAGTACAGGCCCTTCGGCCCTCGATGTTGCACCGACCTGTGAAACCAATCTGGAGCCCATCTAACCTAAACTATTCCATTATCATCCATATGTTTATCCAATGACCATTTAAATGCCCTTAAAGTGGGCGAGTCTACTATTTTTGCAGGCAGGGCATTCCACGCCCTTACTACTCTCTGAGTAAAGAACCTACCTCTGACATCTGTCCTATATCTATCACCCCTCAATTTAAAGCTATGTCCCCTCGTGCTAGCCATCACCATCCGAGGAAAAAGGCTCCCACTGTCCACCCTATCTAATCCTCTGATCACCTTGTATGTCTCTATCAAGTCACCTCTTAACCTTCTTCTCTCTAACGAAAACAGCCTCAAGACCCTCAGCCTTTCCTCATAAGACTTTCCCTCCATACCAGGCAACATCCTGGTAAATCTCCTCTGCACCCTTTCCAATGCTTCCACATCCTTCCTATAATGCGGTGACCAGAACTGTACGCAATACTCCAAGTGC